ACATTTGAAGCTGTGAAAATCAGCTTGGGTCCCACAGCAACTCTGCTGGCTGATTGCTGAAAATTATACCAGAAGAGGGTCTGTGGATTGTACTGTTGAAAGCCAAAAGAAAACAGAGGACCATAGACGTGTCCAGGCAAGCAGCTCAGTCATCATTACAGGCCTGCTTTTAGCTCCATTTCTGGTGACACATTTATAGTCCTGATCAGAGAGAATCTGGAGGGGGATTTGCTCCACTCCTTGTGGCTGGCTGGACAGCAGAGCCAGCCCAGACACGGACACATGGAACCTGTGTGTACTGTTGAGTTTCCCAAGAGTCACACTGGGCAGGAAAGCAGTGGAATACATCACAAGTGTGCCTGCCACCCTGCCTCAAGGGATGGGCGACACATCAACTCAAGTGCCTCTAGCACTCCAGTCACAGGCATCCTCAGTCTGCACAAAGAGGGGATGTCTCAACCTCTGGTTCCTCCCCAGTCAGACCACACTGTCACAGCACTCCTAATGCTTCACAAAGCCAAAACTTCTGCAGACAAAAAATCTAATCTAAATGCTAAGCTGACATCGCAGTCTGAATACCTTTGCATTTCCATTCATGGAGTGGAGGCAGTAACATTACCTGAGCTCACTGGGCATTCTGGGGTAAACACTGAACACCAAAAACTACAAGGGCAGATCATTTCCTTATATGAAGAGAAATTTACAATTTGTTATAATAATCATTAAGGTAAACAACTTTTTTTTTTTTTTTTTTTTTAAATTAACTGTTCACCTTTAGTCAGTTTTGGCAATACTTGGCTGCTTTCCTTGCTCCTAGTAAAATTATGAATACTCTGCCCAGAAGTTAAGAAATGTATCTTGTGCAAGATTTAGGAGAAAACTATTTGATTTGTGACATTTTAATTTCCAGTTCCTTATTTTATGCCCTGCATACTCTATAATTCAGTATCATGGAGCTTTATGAGGTAACCCTTAGAACGTTAGCAAGTTCCCATTTGGCTGTCAGAGTAGACCTAAGTAAAACTCAGGATTAATTTTAGCGTTTATTGGAATGTGCTACTAGAAGGAAAAGGTCAAACATGCTCACAGGAAGGCAGTGCCAGTTTTGAGTTTCTGGTTTGAACCTGTTTCTCCCTTGCCACAAGTGACAGGTTCCACCTTCTGTTCCTGTCAAGCAGAATAAATCAGAGCAGCATCTGTTTAAGAGAAGGAATTCTGTATACACTTGTAATGCTGTAAAATAACCCTCTTCCCAAAATATATTAAAAACAGTGCCTCACTATTCAGGGAGAGGTGAGTGCACTGACACAGTACCTGTACTATCCATGCTGTCAGTACTGCAGACAGCGTTCTCAGCTGATTTCTTTTAGCGAAAAAGAGTCAAAAGATTTTTTTCAGCAGTACTTATTGCCCCTGCCCCAGCAGGAAAACTAGCTGCTCTGTTTCAAGTCTATGGAGGCAGCTGGGGATTCCCACTCACTCTGTGGAACTTTGATCCTTTCTGCTCTTTTTCCATTTGTGTACAAGAATCCATCTTGCAAGAAGGAAGAAAACAATCTGCTCCATATGGGCCTTCAGACAAAGTCTTTGGGTTCTGAAATGAAAATGCTTCCAATGCCTTTTCTCTCAGTACTAGAGAGGGAGTCTGTACCCCAGAGAAGAATTTTTCTTCTCAAATACAAAAAAATTACTTGCCAGAACTAGCAGTTGCTCTCACACGCCAATCAGACTTTAATCTTCTCCTCTTTACTCAGTTTCACAATAAATATCTCTGAGTTTGAAAGGCACAATGCAAAATGAGAGACAGCCACAGTCTGGAGACAAGCAATCTGAACATCCACTATGCCCAAGCCTCAAGTTTGCTTTATGAGGGCACTTCACCCTGCATTCCCAGGATACAAACAAATGTGGAATATTGAGACAAGTAACCACCTGTGATACAGGGACTGTAGGGAAAAACAGGAAAAATAGATTAGTTGAAACATCTTAAAGGCTTAATTACTAATTTGTATTATTATTGTTACACAGTCCTTAAAATTATCTGTTCGCAACTTATCAAGAACTATCAAAAAGTAGTACAGATCATACTTATCCACAGTTAAATTGCTATCATCACGTGAAAAGGTTTCTCCTCAGATAATTTCACTAGCAGAGAAACTGAACTGAATGGGAAAGGAAACCTAAGGGGGAAACTAACACATGAGGTGCTCTCTCAGATACTGTAAGTACCAAATAGTGTCAGTTACTGTTTAATAATGTTGCATTTGCAGTTCTAAGAAATGCCCAGAGTTTGTAAAAATGGTTTCCAGTGACTGATTTACACACGCTAACACCCTGATGAAAGGCAGGTCCTATGGAAGTAGAAGCCAGTTGCCTGGCTTCTGCAGCTAAAGGACAACTCAACATGACTACTCCTTTTTAATAACAGCTAGTGCAACACACGCACACACACACATACATATATATTAAGAGGGGGGATTTTTTGCAGTTACTAAAGCATTAAAAGCATTTAAATTCCTAATCACAGCTTAGTTCCCTTTTAAATCCTAAACAGTAGTTAAGAGGACACTGGTGAAACAGGAAAAATAATTCAAAAGGCACATCATTCTCATGAAGGTGATGAATACAAGCAGATCATCATCGTGGAAAACCTCTGAATATTTGCAACACAAAGCAAGCCCTAGAAGGTTGAGAGCAAGAATACTGTTTTCATCATTTCTGCCAATGAAATACCCATCTTCCTCTGGTTTTAGTTTAAGGCCTGGCAGTGTCAAATGACATGGTGAGAGGATAGTATCTTCTCTGGCAAACTAAAAACACTTCTCTGGCAAAGGGATGGCAAATAGACACGTTCAGCTACCTTGAGGAAACCCACATTGTCATACCATCTGTTTTTATTTAAGAAAAAATACTACCATTCAGGCTTTCTGTAGAGTACCTCTTCTGTGTGTGTTCTTCTTTGAAAGGAATACAATTGTGTTGTGAAAATCTGATAAAGAATTTCTACCCATCACAAGGATTTTATAATCCTGGAGTAAGGAAACTCCAGTTGTTAGCCACAGCCTTACGTTAAATATTCGCTGGCCAGTCACAAACAGAGAAGCTTCTTAAGAAGTCTGGCATCTATGGAAGAGCTGTCCAGAGAAGCATCCTTTCTGGCAGAAAGCATGTTGTCAGGTAGGAGAAAGGTAGTATAAACAAGAGTAATTAGAAAATAAAGCTTAAAAAAAAAAAAAAGCGCTTTGTAATAGTCATACAATTGTTAAGAGCCAAGATCTAGTTAACTAGAATGCATGAAAGCCTGGCTATTGACAGATAAGAGGTGATAAATTAATCTGAAAAATGCTTCATATCAAAAGGCGTCTCAGACATTTTCTCTAAGGATCTGGAAAAATGTCTGATTCAAATAAACTGAGAAAAGATTTATCTGTGAGGAATAAAAAAAATGTTTTAACTACATAAGTTTTCAAATCTTAAAATGAACCAGAATGAAAAAAGTGAGACAAAAAATAGAGGACTTGGAAGAATTTCTGAAATTGTGAGCTCCTTTCACAAATAGCCAGAACTCTCTATAGGTCAGAGTACCAAATGTTTCAAAACTCCTTGTTTATCCTTCAGCAGCAGCACTAACCAAATCCTCACAGGGGAAATGATATGGAAAATTTTCAACATCTTTACTTTGAATGTCACATGGTCTATGCATTAAGCAGAAAAAACAAAGTTGGCAAAAGCAGATGAAATTACAGAAGTCCCAGATTTGTACTAGCTAAACTGTCTAATTTGAGCATACCAAAGAATGCTCTACTTCACAGGGGAAAAAAAGGCTGCACACTTCATGCTCTCAGTTTCAGTAGTGGAAATGACAAAGTGTCAGCTTCCTACTTAAACGCCAACTGAAATTTCCTCAAGCCTTCAAGAGGTATGGAGAGGACAATTCTGTTTTCAAAAGCATTTATAAAATAGTGTTATTTGATGCTTATTAAATGTAATATGAACAATATACATGAAGTTTCTTTTTTCCTCCCTTCAGAAATACATTAAAATTCCTTGGATTGCATCAGATTTTCTGCTTCAAAAGTAATTTATCTTTTTCTCTCTCAAATGCTCTCAAAAGGCACCAATGATAGTTGCTATGGATCAAACAGAGAATGTGATGTGATTCCAAGTTTATCCTATGGAGTATGTCTTAATATTCAACTCAAAGGAAAAGATGGTTTATATCAAATCCAAATTTCTGAAGTAACACAGGACCTCTCAGACTAGTCCTGAAACATGTTGTCCTTGACACACTATGATTGCATTTTCATATATAGTATTAGCTGCATATTTTTTTGGAGAAGAAAACTTTACAGCAATTCTTAAATATCCAAATAACATTTTTATTAGTCATTTAAACACACTTGAACATCACACAGAGCTTAGGAGCATAATTATAAAAATGAGTATTTTTTTTTTAATCACAGAAGAGTTTAAGAGCTGAGCAACTTAAACTGAAGTGACAGCACTTACGATTTTCTGAGGTCTTGACAATACTAAATATCTTGTAAATCTAATTCTTAAAGTAGAGAATTACAAGTGTCACCAGGCACAGCGACCCTATTAAAGTATCCTCATTTATCTTTCCAGAATACCTGCCTTTAATCACATTACTTGGTATGCTCACATTTACTGTTCTGAGCTACCCACTCTTCTCAGCCCATTCTGCACTTCTCACAACACACACAGCAACTGCAAGAGACCCTTTTTACCAAAACAAAGTCAGACCATCAGGGAAAGTCTACCAGATTGTGTATCTTCTTAACATCCGTATGTAAACAGAAGTCATCAGATCTTCAGTAAAGGCAGTTTTTCCTTCACAATAATAATGAACATCTTCTGTGAGGAATGTAACGAGCCAATACGTTCAACACAATACCCCTGTGTAATTCCTTCAGAGATTTAACTGCAACATGAATGCTTGCTACAACAGTATTTTTATATATAGTGAATTGGATCCATGAATAGGAAATAATGTGATTTATTGCAAAGAGTAGATTTCATACAAACAGGTATTTAGAAGTCCAGTTTGTTATTACTTTATTTAAACAAGAGTTTAAAGTTTTCATGCAACATTTGCACTTAAGTCTTAAATAATCATGACAAATAGCAGAAGTAGTTAAGGAATGCACTAATTATAGACCTTGGTGAATATACAAAAAACTCAGCTTTATAGGTTATACAGAGTAAACAACATCTTAAATACTTTCGCAAAATACTGCAGCAGCCAAGACACAGTGATATGCCTTACAAGGGCATAGGAATGTAATTTAGAAATCACACAGAACTACCCATTTCCTTTAATTCCACAAAAAAGACAAAAGCAACATTCAACTCCACACACTGGTTTTTCAGATTATGTCTGTACAGTACCTTGAGTTTCATCCAAATAGTAAAAGTTAGACATGTTGTTTATCTAGTAAACAATTATGTGGTAAATTTCTATTAAATTTCTTCCTTGGTTTTACCTGGAGTAGCCATGCTATTTAAAAGAGGGCAGGTTTGGCACTTTTATACTGATGTCACCAATATTAATATTTCTTGGGATCTCTGGCAGATTCATATTCTTTACAGCAGAAACAGCCCGGGCTGGAGCCCCTGCTAAACCAGCCTGTGTATAAAGTGAGGAAAAATGCAAGTCAGGCAAAGTTGGTCACAGAAAGATTCACTAGCAATATTATACACAAACAACTAACTTTTCAAGTATTCCCATGGTTACACAATTAGAAAGACCAGATGGTAATTGTGTTTGGAATGAAATGGGTTATTTGGAAATATTAAACCATAAAGAGAAAACAGTTCACACATTCCTTTTTATATGGTAAAACGTGTAATGTCAACTTGATGGAAAAGTATGTGGGGAGGAATAGGAGGCTTATCCAAGCGTGTGTAATGTTAGGTATTTTAAGTCCAATGTGCTGTCTTTGTCTCTCTAAAAACTCACAGGTTCAGAACAGGTAACCTCAAAGTAACAAGTTACTCAATGTCAGTTGAACCATACTATTTATCTAAATGAATATGTATGTATGTAGATAGATAGATATGGTGGCTTAGCCTAAAATGAAAAGGATAAACACCTAGCATTTGCGGGTGATAAAGAGCATGAGAAGACAACATTTCTACAGACCAACTGGAATAATCTGTTATTCCAGACTATCTAATTATATGCTAACTTATCTGCATCCCAGTGGCACACTGAAACATTACATAATAACCTGGTTATGCCAAATAAAACATTGAAGTATCTATTTTGTATTGAAGCCCTCTACTGTATACAGTCTCTCTTCATTTAAAGCCAGAGCCTTCTGTATAAATATGCAAGTTTTATGATATAGAAGTTCATTACTGAGTTCCATTCAGTTCTGCCTTTTAGATAAAATAACTGCCAAGTTTACACACTAGGGTATATTGCCGATAATCTAACAAAGATGACGTGCAGCCGAGAGGTCTGAAGACATACAGAACACAACCCCTCCCTATTACTTCTGAAGAACAGCTCTTCAAAACCCTATTAAGGACTACCAAAAAATGGACAATTAAAAAATGGACAATAATTAAGTTGTTACTGGGTTTGATGCTGTAGAGAAAAGGTACTATTTACTTTAAGTACGGAGATGTTTCTCCTAGAAGTTGAGATTCTCTACGTATATTTAGAATTAGCTGTGTGGTTTTACTTCAGGCTTGCCACAAAAGTGTAAAAATAATTTTTATTCTTGCTGGAAAAAAAGCCTGGAAGATTTTAAAAACAGACAGAAAAAGACATCATATTCCCAATTCTGTGAATATGAAAAAAAAAAAAACCAAACCAACCAAAACCAAACAAACCCAAAACTTCCTATTCTGATGTTTTAAAAGTAGGATTAAAAATACTAAAAAAAAAAAAAAAAAACCCAAACACAAAAACAAAAACAAAAAAGAGTGTGGCATCTTACATGCCCAGTAAAAAGTAGCAATCCTCAAGAAACAAAGTAAACTGCCAAGAACTGGTTAAGTAAAAGACTAAAACTGTGGAAATGGAAGGCCTTTCATTATAAGGGTGTCAAAGACTGAAGAAACCAGTGCATTTGCAAATAAAATAAATTCTGTGCAAGTAGTAGAGAAAAAAAAAAAAAATTCTGGAAAAGTTCGTGTCATATTGGATTATTATATAGTGTTGGCAAGTGACTACTGCTCAAAGTATAACCTTTTCAGATTCTTAATTTTCAATGAAATTCACAGTTACAGGATATAATTAGACTGAAGAGTACACATAACTTCAGTGGTGTCCACATACACTACTGTACAAAAGGAAACAGACACCCCATATACTCCTCAGACAACAATTCTACTTACTGAAGGCTGTATAAAAAAATATTTTCTCCCTTTTATTACTCTCTTATAAGAAATAAATGTAAGGTCAGACTAACATAAAATTTCCACTTAAAATTCTACCTACTGTTCTCCCCCCTTCAAAAACATAACCCATAATCAAAATAAAACCAATTAAATTCTCCGATTTTGAACTAACACTTTTATACTATGTGAAAAGGCTAAAGCGTCGTAAATCCCTAGATTTTAGTCACAGGAAGATTCCTAGTACCAGTAACAGAGACCAGAAAGCCATGAGTCATCTGTTATAATATCTCCCCTGCTAAACAGTCATGTATGAGACATGTCAAAGTTGGAAAAGGCATGTGGAGGTAGAGAAGAAAGCTTGCAAAATCTTAAAACTCTAATGCAACAAATATTTTACTCTCACTTTGGCCCTGACATAACCCAAATTATCAGTTCTCAGAAGTACAAACTAAAACTAAAACGGTGCAAAGAAATATTTTCAAAGCCTCGTTTTCCCTTAACATTACCAGGTCTATCAGGTCATTCACTTCAGAGGCTGTTTCAATTCCAATACCTTAATGAAGGGGAAAATCTGGACCTAACACTAGTAGTATTAAGAAATGCAAGTATCTGAATTCTGCATCCCTGAATCTGCAATATCTTAAATGAGCAGTTTAGACACTGCAACTTCTTGCTATTTATTATAAAACAGTGCAGAAGATATGAAGCTGTTCAACGCTGTCCTTTTATATTTGAGAGCCTGGAAATACTAATTTGAAATCAAGAGGTAACTACCAGTGAAGCTTTATCAGATAAAACAACAAATGTACTTCCTTTTTATTTGATTCTATCCTTTAAATACTATATCCAGTAACTGGAGAAATATTCTTTAAGCAAAAGCAAAAGTAGAGCAATGTAAACTGTTTTCCATAGAGAAGATGAAAATACTAATAAAGTAGTAACAAAAGCAATGAATTACACAATTTGTAACTGAAACAATGGGAAATCAGAAAAATATTGTTAAGTGATGGACATGGTCCACACAAACAGGCATGGCTGGCAATTCAAAAGAGTGATGCCTTCTAGGTGACTAGGATGGAGAATCCTTACCCTGGTTTAATGAAAGTTAATTATTCTTAATGGACAAATAAAAGTTTTAGTGTAACTGGTCATTATTTTTACCTACCTGCAGCTATCCTCTTTACACAGACTTACAGTCCCTGCCTCCCGCCCCAATGGCATAGGATACAATGGAAACACAATTGAGAATTATTTAAAATACCACAATTGACATGACCATTGCCCTTCCACCCCCTTATACAGTCACGACTTCCAACAGTCACTTTTTGTGAAGACGATTCTGAATCAGGATCAGCAAAGATCCCTGACAAAAGTATTATGAATTTCAGATTACCTCTTTTTTTGCTAGCAAGATTATCTTTCACTATCCTATGCTGGAGTAGAAATTTTCAAACTATTACATTCTCTTCTCCTGTAATTGTCTATATTAAGTGGGGTTGTAATTCAATGTATACATAATAGGCATAGCAGAATGCTATTTATCACAATTAATGTCAAGCCTATCAAGCACAATACAGTCATACAGTACTTCTAAGAGAGAGCAAACAGTTCATAGAAAATGTCTAATGAATAAAATTACTGAAAAGTACTTTAACTCCCAAACCAGATAACTAATACATTATTTCAATGCTATTATATCCAAATGCCTTAGCATTCCTTTTTAGCATGTCAAACAGTGAACTAGTATGCAGTCCTTCCATTTATTTATCATTTCTTTTACAGAGAGTGAACTCTATTTACAAAGACAAAGGTGCTACAAGAAGTATTTCCAGCCCAGTGTTCACTTAAGCAGTATTACAGAGGTACCTAGTTAAAAGAGCCATCATTGTAACACTGAACTGGCCAAGTTTCAACTGCCTTTTTTATCAAATAATTCAGCAGGTAAGTTGATGGAATGCAAAGAAAAAACTGTTTCACTTAAAAAAAACCAAACAACAAAACATGTAGCAAGCTTTAAACATGCAGTGAGTGATGAACTGTCCTGTCACAATGAGCAAGTGACTTAAGCAAATGAAAATGAAACTTAAGATATATTAATGAAATTTCAGAAAGACAGTACAAATTCCATACAGCTGGCGTTACAACAAGCCAATACACCATATTTTTGCCACAGCTGCTTTGTATTCTCAATTTCATTTGTTATTGAAGGTTGTACTTTAATGTTGAAATGCTGTATATTAAAGTTTCAGGTTAAGTTACTGCAAAAAATGCTTGTAAACATGTTCATATATTTTTAGAGTGAAAGAGCAATGCCACATATGCAAAACAATAATACTATTTTAAAGATTGAAATAGACACATTTAATAACACAACTTTTATTCTACTAGTCCTAGTCTATCAAATGAGAAATAAGAGCTGTTGTTAGTTTACTTAGGTCATTATTTATCACTATAGGAATAAATTTTCTTCATTCTTATCAACATCCTTTCTCATAATGCCCCACTGATAACTTTATATAAAAGTGAACCCAGAAACACTGTTTTACTCTTGAAAAAGAAATTCAGATCATTTGGGAAAAGTACCGCACATCACAAATCTAGTTAATATGCACACACAAATATATATTAAAAAAGATTGAAACCACCATCCTAAACAACTCTGTACAGAGCTAGCTATCACTAAAATAAACATATAAAAATATACAGCCTACTGGGAAAATAATGAAAGCTAATGCTTTGCAAAATAAGCCACCCTTTTCCAGATATTTCAGAGGCACTAGGACCTCTCTGCTGTTGATGTTTCGTACCAATGCTTCTTTCCAGAACAAGTATGATTTCAAAGCAGCAGGGTTATGAAATCATGAAAGGATGCAATACATAATATAAAGGAATGATCATGTCCCCTGCTTATGAAGTTAAATAAATGAACATAATTAGAGAAAAAACAAAATGAAGTCTGCAAGTATATCAAAATGAGGCCAAACAGATAAGACTTAAGACGTACTCTTAGAAATTTTAAGCACTTGAATCACAAAGAGAGTAATGGATGGGAATGATTAATTATTTGTTTGTTTGTTTTTCATTGCCAGACCCAAAAATAAAAACAGAGCATGTGTGAGCAGAACAGAGAAAAAGAAAAGTAGCTTTGCACAGACAAAAAAAAAAAAAAAAAAAAAAAAAAAAGACAAACCTGAAATCAAGTTCCCTACTGTTTCAATGAAATACAGATTACATACTACAAGTGTTGGCAGAGGAAAGTAATTTGCTTGATTTTCTTCATGTGCATACTTCAAATTTAGGTTAAAAGTTTCATACTACCAAAAATTATTTTTAGATAATACTTTACAACTTAGTGCTAATAAATCCAATTACAAAATTATATTTGTTAAATCCTTAAGCTATTATATTACTCCTTCCTAGAAAGATCATGTAAAAAGTAAAGAGCAAAGCTATTCATAAATTAAATAAACTTTGCCTGTTTAAGATTAAAATATCTGCAGTTTGACTACATAGATAATTAAAATGAGTGGAAATGAATTCTGAAGTACTGCCATTAACACTGACTGACATTCAAACTGAGCTATGAACATTTAGTTCAAACATTTGAACTAAATGTTTCAAACAGCAAATGATGGAGGACAATGACAATAAACTGAACTTCAAACTTACATTTTCCTCCTAATTTTTCAGTTCCTTGTTAATATTCAAGTTCAGTGACTGCAGTTACTAAGATAATCTTAAAGCAAAACCCAGTGACTCAGATTACAAGGGTAGCAAATGTACATCTGAAGTTGAGTACATGCTGACAGCCCTTCTTATGTTTGATACACTAAAGGTTTAAAGATCAACTTTGGTATTTCTGCATCATCTTTACAAATCGCACCGATAATTTTATTCTGCATGTATAAAACTATTTGAGTTTGTGGGTTTGTTGGTTTTGGTGGGGTTTTTTTAAAGTTTTTGTTCACCTGAAACTTAATCTGAAACTTCTCTCTGCAAGCAGGTAAAAGTTTTCTGGTTTCACTTCAAAATACTAAAAGATGAAGCAAAAGAGTTCATACTACCTATTTTAGACTAACAGGTACAAAATTCTCTCAATAAGTAAGGTATTTCTATTATGTTATCATATAATATTTTGTTATCGGTCTTCAATTTTTATTCAGATTAGTTTTGCAGGTTTTTCTGTTAATATTCGGACAAGTTCACATTCCTTTGTTTCTTAAACAATGATACAAAGAAAAGTTAAAATCTCAAATGCAGGAAGAGAAATAAAATAAAAAATATGATGTCAATGGAAAGCTAGTAAAATACACTATAGCCAATAAAAAGATGAGGGAACTACAAGAAGAAACTAGCACAAAAAGTAGGCTACAAGGACTAGTATGGGTATTTTTACACATAATTTTTGAGTCTGGCCTACATAATTTATTGCCTTTGACATCATTTTGCTTTCCCTTTATTTAAAAGTACATTTTTTCTAAAAGTCAGCAATACCTTTTTCTACCTGTCCTGTCTGGGAGACTGAAAGATAAAGGTCTGTAAGAGAGAAGAATGGAAAGAGCTAGAAAAGATCAGGAGGTTCAGAAAAAATGAGGTCCAACTTAAAAGTCTAAATCACACGCAGCTGAACACTCCAAATAGAGAAGAGGTAGCCCAGTTTTACCTACAATACTTCCAGAGGCTCTGGACAAAACCCCAATAACCCCTCTCCCAGAAATTCCCTCCCTTAATTACAATTATGCTTTCGCTTTAGGAGGATTAATCAGAAATCCATTCACAGATAAACACTAAACTGAAAGGTAGGGATATGCATTAAAGACAACATTTCTTAGGGTAGAAATAGAATTTCCTTTGTAGCCCATCCAAGCAATGCAAAAGCTGAATCAGAAATCAAAGCTAGGCACTCCCTCACAGTGGTTTAAGTAATTTATCTCTGTTGAAAGTAGCAACAAATTCTTTGAGTTGATAACTTTGCTCAAATATTTGTGAATTTAATAAATACATTCAATCTTCTTCACTGAATTATAACTGAAAGCCCGTTTAGAAACCTAACACATAACTAAACAAATACCTGATGTCAAATGGCTACATTTTTTATGTTAAGGGAAGGCAGGCAGGCACAATACAAAACTTAAAAAACTTCTGAAAATGTAGCTCAGTTACAATTTTATTAGCAATTAGAAAAGAAAAAAGAAAAGGCAATTAGACCTTAAAGCAGTTATTTTTTGGATGCAAGAAGTATGATGGAGGTCTAACAAGCCAAACAGACTAAAGCAAGAGTGCTGTGGCATAGGTGGCAGGCCTGTGAACTACAGACTATATAGATAATAATTTCTAAATTTTAAAAATAATTCATTTTTTTTAGAGAAAACTAAGAAGATCCACTAGTTTTGATTTCTTAGCGATCAGCATTCAAAAATATTATCAAGTTATTACTGATTTTAATTTACATGAACTGGATTTGCTTGTATCTTGAAAATACATGTTCAGGAAAGACATGTAAGAAAGACTTACAATCTTGATCAAAAAGGCAAAAGGAAAAGAAACAACAATCAGGAAATTTCTGTGGATATACATGAAAAATGATTAATTATCTGAGAAAATAGTTACCAGGTATTGTGAAGTATCTCAGCATTACAGTAACTGTTAAATTTGAAAAGAAACAGTCACTGAACTAACAAAAAAAGAAATGCATTTGTGGTGAGCAGACTGTGAAATGTTCTACTCCATCCCAGTCACCAAATGTTTTAATTTATCGCTGCTACTTATCTTCTATAATTCATTGCTGTAAGGAACTATTTGCTATTTACCTTGCATATGCTATGAGTGCTACATGGCTTTTTATAGCTTCTACCACCTATTTTTATACTAAAAGCATCTTAAAAGTAAGAATGACTTACTGATGAATAATGGAAAACGGCAAGTATTGCAGCTGGCTGCACTGAATTGATGTGTTTCAGACAATTAGTCAGAGACTGGTCTACAGTTGATTTGGTAAAAGAATTCACATAATTAAGAATAAATACATTAATTAAATGCTTTTAGGTAAAACTGATATGTGCTTAATACATGGTAGAACATATCTGCTCAGCAAGTTCAGCTTTTGGGACACTACGTTACTTTTCCATCAAATAAAGAAAAATACGTGTATACAGAAGTTATTCAAAAATATGTAAAAAAAATGAGAATAACTCAAAATATTCATCTCTGTGATAAACGGCTCATTGAGTTTGAGAAAAACATTAAAATGAACATTTTGGACATCTTCGTAATCTACAATACAATCCTTCTGGATGTATATTGCTATGCACTGTATCATATCATACCTAGCTTTTTCCTGTTTTTCAATGTTGTGCTGTTCTTGAATACAGTTTTGGCATTGTGCAGTGTGAGACTGCAGAATTAGGAGAACAGTATACATTGTACCACAAAAAAGCTGAAGAATTCATTTCTCTCTTTGTTGCACTTTAGTTAAAGCTAGGAAGTTCTCTGGGTCTTCTCCTAAAATGTCATTTAGTTCATATTTATGCCACCTGGAATATTTCAATCTACTCAGCTGGCTTCAACTTTAGAAACAGTCTCCAATTCAAGCAAAGGTTTGCTTAGAAATTTGAATATTATGCTTTGAAAAATCAGATGATGTGTTCTTTTCTGGAATTACTTTCATCAATAAGAATCAATCACAGACTTGGCTAAGATGTACTAGCAATATTTTGGCTTACAAGGCATGTCTGGTGATGTTAAAGGAACAGTAATATTCTGTGTCATAGCTAAATTCATTCTAAAATCCTCTCTTCGTCTAAGTTTCTCTCCTAAACACAATTCAACAATTCTTGAATTGAAAAGGGATTCCCACAACTTGAGTATCCCTCGCTCAGACTGTTACAGGCATATACAGAATATCACTCTCTCACTTGAATCTGCTCAACTGAAGACTAAACATTCAGATTACGAAAATGGCAGAACTCACAAAAGTGTCTAAAACTGGACTTTAAATTCTATCTAGTCTATTTCAGTTCAATTTATTATTTTGTGTTACAGTATTATTGTGACACTAAATAAGGTGTCATTTATTTCAGGTGCTAGAAACATACTAGCAAACAGGAACAGCTACTCTTTGTAGACACACTTTTTCTTTATCTAATTTAATTTGTTATAGTGACTATTCCAGCATAATAAATATACTGGAAACAAAATACTTTCTGAAAGAGAAACTTAGAGAACTACAGAAGTATCTCAATAGCAATGGCACACAATGCTATTAGATACAAAAAGCAAAAGCTAATGAGCAGCAACTCTAAGCAATTATTACTCATGATGAAAGGTATGACATCCTAACCAACAATATATTGACAGTTTTTATCATTATAAGCAAGTGGTTGTAAGTAGTTTGCTACTGAGGTCAAACAGCATTATATAGCATGCATTTACTACAACCATATTTTTCGTTTAGAAGTTACCTGGTGCGCCACTTACCTCAGATTTCTCCAGTTTATTTTGAGCATCAATCTGAGTGACAATTTCATTCATGTTGGTCTCCAAAACCATTCCACCCATGACCATTTCAGCCAAAATATTATGGACCTAAAAAAGACCAAAATAAAATTTAAAAATGCAAATATCCTACACACATCCGGATAGATGGTATCTAGATTTATCAATACTAGAACACATTTATTTTCTAAGTTACTTCATTTATTTATTTTAAACCATAACCTCATAACTAAAAGTTTGTAACTTGATGTTCATTCCTCCAGTATCTTCTTTGCTCATAGTTCCGCTATACCACTTTGTTTATCAACGCTAGAAGAAACTTTCAAGTTCATCTTTCTTTTGGAACCTGTTTTTCTATCCGAAGACTATAAACAAGAGTTCTAATTAGCATCAATAGTAGTAATACCTCTAAGGAGCAGTTTCTACAAGATTAAACAAATTGTTCAGAAAAGATGTGTAAAAATGACTTTGGGCTACATCCACGAAAGAAGAGAGACATAGTGATGCTCACCCACCATGGGCACCAAGACTAAACTTCGATGTAGAATTAACATTCTTGAGCTGCCCCATACCTGAGCTACAGCATCTAGGATCAAAATTGACAACTAGGACTCAAACTGAGGGACTTCATAAGCCAGTTGAAGATATTAAAGAAATGGGTATGTCTAAAAGCGCTCTTCCCTGCAATCCTAATTTGGGGATGCAAGCCCTGGTTCGGAGTCTGTTTTTGCACTTTACCTAGAGACTAATTTTTTTTTTTTTTTTTAAAGCATGCTTCCACATACTTTCTAGTAAAAATACAGAGTTACTAAATGATTTATAATATTTTAATACCATTACAATTCTGAAGACAAGGCACATGTCATTACTTTTCTGAAATAAGCATATTGTACAATCTGATACTTCAAAGCATAATTCTGCTGCTATTTTGGATATTCTTGCAGTTTTCCCTGTGGATCAAGGATACAAGTCAATCTGTAAATCAAACAATTGTAAAGATCAGTTGCAAGTAGTATATCAAAACCCATCACAATCCCCCTTTTTAGAGCCATACCTCAAAAACAAAACTGAAGACTTGCATCCCTGATAAATCATTAGTGTATTTCAGTAGAAACTTAAAATTAATATGAGAAGCTGAAAACAGCTCTCCTCTCTGCCTATTGCTGCTGAGTAGAACTTTAAGAATCAAATACTTATGAGAAAGATTAACAGTCCTTACTGAGCCACTCTCTTCCTCCTGGCATATATATTTCCCTTGTAACATACCAAGCTAAAAAGCATAATATAAAAGCGGTGCCAAAGAATTTATTCTCCTGCCTTATTATTAGGTAAATTTAAAAGCTTTTTAGCATCACAACCAGAAAAAAACATAAAAACATGGTAATCTAACATTAACTTACTCTACACCAACAATTCAAATGCATTGAAAGACTTCACCAATATTTACTTTTTTTTACTGAAAACGTATTGTCACTCATAGCATAAGGACACAGTTTATAGCTGTACAGAAATAGGAGACTGTAAATAAACTGTATGGGCTATTTGAAATACTAAACCAAAAAAACTTGCATAAATTTGCATTTGGTTACAAACTTGAAAAGAACTATTTCACAGACACCTGATGAAAGGTATACTGTATTCTACAGAATCAACTGAAAAAAATATTGTTTATTCAGCAAATTCATATGGAAGGCCTGATAATATACGCTGATGATGCAAAAAGTTGACTTGAGTTGTTAATATCAAAAAGCAAATATTGAATATGTTAATATAGAAACTATTTAAAAAATATATTAAAATAGACACCAAAATAACATTTTTTTTTCTTAATAAAAAAGTTAACAATAACCACTAAAAATGTTTAGAAGACAACAGATTCCTACCACTGGTGATGGTCATAAAGATTACCACTTTAAAGAGCTCTGGTTAACGATGGTATAGAATCAGAGTTTAAGTCAATCAATAGGATATTAGGTTTGATAATTCCTACGTGAGGAGATGGTACAAGAGATGTGTTTTAGATTTGCAGCTTCAATCATAATCACACTCCATTCCAGGATCAGTGATATTTTTAAGCTTCCGTACAGGTTTATCTGTCCTTCCTGACTACTCCACAGCTTTTAAGCCATGTGGGATTCCCCTCAGAATATAGAAAAACTAGCTATTACAATATGCATAGCCACCAAAAAGAAAACATAAAAACTACAGAGATCTTCATAATACAATAATTATCTGTTGATTTTGGTTATATTTTATTTTATCGATAATTTACTAAGCAAGTATTTTTCACTTACTATGAAAACTTTCTAGTTTCTCAACTGGCATTATACAGACTTATAGAAGGACTGATAAATAATTCAAGTCTCCCTACACAAGTGGAAAATTCTCTAGCTAGCCTTATTTAACTGGAGAGTTTACTACGAAGTCATTATTTTCCATCTCTCAATATAAATACAGCATAACAGTGCAAATACCATCACCTGCTACTGCAGATGATAGATCTGGATTTTATTTTCTGTTTTAGAAATACACCTGGCTCCAAAACAGCAACCACAGTCAGCACCTTCAGGTTTTAGAGCCTCATTTTGCCTTTTTGACAGAGCCTCATTTTGCTCTTTTTGACAGAGCTAGTGATGTCAAAGAAGAAATTCCATCTGCAACTTTAGCCTCAACTGATAGCCCCAAAATTCAGAAAATATTCACTTTAAAGTTAAAATAATATTTCCATTGTTGAAGAATATGTTTTAATTTGTGGAGGATACCTGAAACCACATTGATAAGTAGATGAAAGACTGAATTCCAGCATACATCCTGGAGAAAGAATTTAGTTCAATTTCCTCTTAGCATTCTTGAAATCTTTGGTAAGTTCTAGAACTTGGCCTTTCTTTCAAAGCGCAGGAATAATACACATATATTTCTGACTGAAGAGGCACAAAATACCATCCCAGTAAGTTCCTGCCTACTTTGGTCTTACTCAGCAGGGAACTTCACAGGGCAAGCCACTGAAGTCTAGCAGGAAAGAAAAAAGAATGTAAAAGAGCAGGTCTTGATCTTTACAGATTATTCATTTGTTTTGAAAGAAAACATAAAATAATGAGTGATTTTTTTTTTACAAAACAAACAAACAAAAAGACCAAAAACCTCTTTTCTCAGGTAAACTCTTTCTAATAGCTGATCGATACAAAATACTGAGATGCTAAAGCTTAAGGTAACAGGTTGAACTGCATATGAAACCTACACTAAAATGACTGAAGACATTGAGCATTTGATTAGGTTTTCACAAGTATTCTGGTTTCTCTGAAATACATTACAAGGTGCATTTAAAAAGAAATGTAATTAAATTATGCCAGTTTTGGTAGCTATTTTCCCCCTGTAATAGGTAAAGGTAAGCAATTAACAGTCTTGTCAACACCACTCACACCAGAGATCATTTTTTCTTCTAGAGTGCTACCGAAACCGTAAATATATAGTGTATTAGACTACATCTAGAACACCACATCCAGTTTAGGGTCTACAAGTGAAAGACAGAGATCAATAAATTAGAGTGAATTCAGTAGAGGGATACCAAAATGGTTGCAGCTAGTACATTTATCCTGGGCAGAGGCTGGAGCACCAGGGCTGGTTCAGCCTGGACAAGGGAGGCTTGGGGGCACCTAACAGCAGCCGCAGTGCCTACGAGGGGCCGTGCAGGATTAGGGCTCTTTCAGAGGGACACAGGGGACAGGCCAGGGACAGAATAGGCTGGGATGTGCTGTAAGGAAACCTTTCCCCAGGAGGACAGGTGAGGGATGGGTGGCACAGGCTGCCCGGGGGCTGTGCAGGCTCCCTCCTTCCCTCCATCTCTCCCTCCCTGAGCAGCCTGGTCTGGTCCCCTGGCCAACACTGCCGGGAGCAGTGCCTCACACCAGGTACCTCCTGACATCTATAACTGAATTATCTTATGATTTTATGGTAAAAACATGCTACTTCATGATGTGGAGAGAGTTTCACTGGTAAAAACAATTGCTTCAGAGCCAAAAACTTGCTCTATCCATTACAGACAGGAAATCCAAATTTCTGGAAAAAGCTAGATGCAGAGAACTGGGGACAATTCAAGTGTAATGCACAAGTCAGGAATATCAATTGTACCAAAAGTGTCTGTATATATACATGCACATATATATATATGAATTGGAAAGAAAAAAATAATGTATACAAATATATGAAATAAAGAAAGACCAATTAATTTCATTTCTAAATACAGTGGTTTTGCATCAGCCAACTTCATTGCTCAGGAACATACTAACACTTACTACTTCTCAAGTGCAGTAAGTGCTGTAAAGAATAATTGTGACAGGATCACAGCCAATTATACTGGTGTCCAAACAAATCTTCAAAAATTTCAGAAAGCAGTATAATTAATATTGATATTCTCTACCATTACTTGGATTGAAAGAGAACAGAAGACACCACTGACCATATTACTTACCGACACATGCCTTCAACTATGAATTCACAGCACATGCAGAAGCATCTTTGCATATGGCTTTCAAATACTGAAAGCATGAACCTGTGAAAAGGGTTTGGGGGCTTTTGGTTGGTTGGTTTTGGTTTGGCTTTTTTTCCATCTCTTCCTCCAAGCCCAGGAACGATGCA